CAGTCAGAAAAGTAACAGTCCCCATGACAACTGGATAAGAAATAAAATCATCATTCTTTTGAGATGAAGGCCAATGTGTCTGAGATAGTTTCAAAAATTACCAAGGTCTACTTARTCATGAGGCTGTCGTCTCCTGGGCTACTAATGTGCCAAGATCAAGATCACAAAAAGCAAAAGACAAAAACTACAGCCCTGCTTTGTTTTCAGACAGGACTTGAACATGCCAACATCATGTTTGAGCTGATCCTTAGAGCTTTCCTGTARCATATTTTAAACATGGACCAAAATATAGAAACAAAATCACTTTAAATGTGGAGGCAAGCACAACCCTGACTGGTAAATCAGGATCAAAAAATAATAAAACAGGAGAAGAAACTTTAAATCTAGCTTTGTTCTTATTTTAAGACTTTAAATTCCTCTATCATTATGTCAAGATGGTTTGATTTGACAGATGAATTGTGAATCTGTAAGATCGATAAGAACGCAAAACGTACTGGCTTCCCCTCCAGCAGCAAAACCCCAGGACAGAGGCCGTTTAATGCTCAACTTGAGGCCTGAAAATGGCCCAGTTTACCGATCATTGTGAGAAATCATTGTGGCTACATCCATCTTGTAAAAGTGAGGCTGGAGAGAAAGACATGATAGCAACACTGAGACCTTTTAGTCCTGAGCATTTTCAGGAGAAAGTCTTGTTTGTGGAGTCATTTTATTCTGACATATCAATCCACAATCATTCAACCAAAAAAAAATGCTCCTACGCTCAATGATGTTAATGTACAGGTGATAACAGGTGTTACGTCAACACAAAGCAGACTTAACTTAGAAAAAAAAAACAATTTTCAGCTGGATCTTAAGGCATTTTGTTACAGGCAGCTTGTCAAAAGGTTCTGTCACACTATAACATTTTAAACAACTTATGCTGAYGTATGAAAATTTTATCATGCCTATTTTACTCATATCGGACATACAGGGGTTAGACAATGAAACTGAAACACCTGTCATTTTAGTGTGGGAGGTTTCATGGCTAAATTGGACCAGCCTGGTGGYCAGTCTTCATTAATCACACATTGCACAAGTAAGAGCAGAGTATGAAGGTTTAATTAGCAGGGACAGAGCACAGTTTTGGTCAAACTGCTGCAATGCACACAACATTATGGGTGACAGAGTTCAAATGAGGGCAAATTGTTGGTGCACGTCTTGCTGGTGCATCTGTGACCAAAACAGCAAGTCTTTGTGATGTATTAAGAGCCACAGTATCCAGGGTGATGTCAGCATACCATCAAGAAGGACCAACCACATCCAACAGGATTAACTGTGGATGGAAGAGGAAGCTGTCTGAAAGAGATGTTATGGTCTAAAACCAGGTGTTTCAGTTTCATTGGTTAACCCCTGTACATTCAATCTGATTGTTAACATTACAGTATAGGTCCAAAAGAGGCTACCAGTATACTTTTTATTCAATTCCATCTTCAGCTTAGACATCTTTACTGYTGGACAAATTTTTCACAAGTTGGCATATAGCTGTCCAAAACTGTGACAAGTCCTAAAGGCACAATCTGTTTCCATTGTTTAGACAGAAATGAAAAAAATAACCGAGATAACAGTTTGAAAAGGTCAGTGGTTCCCAACCAAGGTCCCTGAGCATCACTATCCTGCATGTTTTAGTTGTTTTCCTAGGATTGGGTGATTTTGGCAAAAAATAAAATAAAATCCTGATTAATTGTGACAATAGATGGCATTTGCACTTGCATGTTTTTCTAAATCAGTTACCCCGTGTTCTAAAATAATACTTACAAATCATCAATCAAATTAACGTCTTTATTTTAACAGGTTAAAATAGTCAGCTGTTAATTCAAATCCACCTTTTCCACCAATGTTGAGTGGCAGCAAATCTTTTGTAATGGTCACCTGCTCACATGAACACTTGATAGTGAGAGTGCATCGCACACAAAAATACATCACATTGGCATGAATTGCAGTAATCGCAAAGTGGTAAATATTAACTGTTGACAGTTTTTCTGATGATTAATTGCACACGATTCGATTTTGCCCAAACCTATTCCCTGCTCTTYGACAGGCCTTTAGATTCTTCAGAAGCTAGTAACTCACTCACTCATTCATACCAATCAGGAGTGTCAAAGCAGGGAAACATCTAAAACATGCAGGATGGTGTTCCTCAAGGACCAGGGTTGGGAAYCACTGCTGAAGTTTGATGAAACTCGTGTCTTTGCTACTAGATTTTTCTTCCYGTTTCTGAAAAACCTGTTTTTCAGACACTGTTTTTCTACTATAAAAGTTTTTGTAAAGATCTAATGCTGTGTCTTTTCTCCTTGTTCATTTTTCTATTCTTTAAGCACAATATGCTGACATCATGGCAAAAGGCCAGAAGCAAAGTCAAAAAACTAATTTCCTAAACTCTTGAGAAAGCCTTAAGAACTACAGATCACTTTAAATGATTACAATCATTGGAAGCTAAATATGGACAAATAGGAAATGTTTGCAGCTTATGTACTAAACTGTGCACACACTTCGAGCACCTTTCAGCCAAAAAAAAGCTACTGCAGTAACATATGTGGTATAGTTTTTACTAACAGTTAATGCCATTTGGGAAAAAACACACAAGCAGGTTCAGTAATTTTCCTCCCCCAAACCAACAAACTGTTTACATCAATTATATCATSTCAAAGGAAACATTAACATGCAAAAAAAGGGAAATACATGAGAGTGCAACAAGATTATAAAATGTCAAATCACAAGCCTCATAAACATGTGCAATAAATTTCCAAACAAGGCGAGCAGAAATCATCAACTTAAACACWTGTTTCAGTAACAATGTTGCTGCAAAAAGTAGAGTTTCAGCATCTTCCTGTGCCTTTATGGTTTAGACAACAATAATTAGTGCTTTTTATTCTGGGATTACTGCACTTTTAATCAATCTGCAACWAACTTCCCATAAATTACAGCAACTAGTCTTCACTTTAAACTGGTTTGATATTTAGCTAAAAGGAGTTCAAAGCAGCTCAGCAGACTGGGTAGCAATCTCCCTGTCAGACTCCAGTCCAGCCCATGTCCTGAGACGAGACCCCGAGGCGGGACTCTTCCCAGATGCYCCTGCTTTGATCTCCTAATCACCTGGCTCAGCACCATCCTGATCTGAGGGGAGGAGGGGCTGCACGGGCAGGAGGAGGACAACCACCACCTCACAACCACTAGACGGCCTTTTTATGGGTTCTTTGAAGGTTCTGGTCACTTTAATTAAGCAGTAGGATTTATTGTTCTATTAAGAAAAAGAGTAAGCTTGAGTTTATTAAGGGCATCAATGCGTCTCACTTAATAATCTGTTAAACTTGCTGTATAATCATTGYATAATTTTGGTATATTACACAAAGCGTAAGCATTTTGCCTCTCAAGACTAAAGGACTTAGTTTTCTCTCAATACCCACTAGAATCCAGAGATCACACAAAGGCCCTGATTGGCCATCATCATATTTCATCCCTGACTTTTTAACTTGCATCTTCTACATAAAACACTGCAGAAACATAAAAACTCAGACGTGTGGCCATCTGAGTCTTCTGACGCTCACAGTGGAGGAATTTTTAGGATCTGACTAATGGTTTTCACCAGGGTTGACCTGTGGCATAGGCAGTAGAGGCAAATGCTAAGGATGCCATCCATGTAGATGGCTTCACAAATGGGGGATRAAAATATAACTTTATCAGAGTATAACTGATTTAGTTTGTGATGGTTACTCAAACTTTTTCCTGAGTTTCTGAGCTGTTTTGGTGCTCAGTGTAAAAAACAAAATAAGGGTAATGAAAGTTTCAGTAAAGTTCTGGTTTTCAGTGTTCTCCCTTCATAAAATATCAAATTTATGTTGTTTTATTAATCCCAAGAATTGAATAAAAGGCTCTTCAGATGGCTAGAAAATGCAGTTTTTACCAGGAGGATTTTCTTTGTTAATTCTTAATTGGACAACCTGGTTTCTAAAAGAAACAAACAAACAAGCGAGCATGCATACATGCATATATATAAATAAAAGACAAACCTATCTAAAAATTTTATAGGGTCCTGGTTTTCACACAGCAAGCTGAGGCTTACTTTTCAGTCTGCCTCTTCTTAACGCAGGCGGTTACCACTTTTAAACAGCTTAATACACTCAAAAATATTTTTCTGCTTTATTTGGCACAATCAAAATTGTGTCAGTGATTTTCTAGGTTGACTCCRCTGTTTGATATTTCACCATTTCATCCGAGTCGTGACTCAACCGTTTTTCAAGGTAAAACCTGAAGAGTTTGATAACTTGTTGACATAACCCAGCCACATTTCCTCATTTTTAAAACATCCTCATTAAAAAAACAAAACAGAAGTGAAGATACAAGTCCAAATCAGCCAGGGTTGGTTTGTTTCTTTTTTGTCTACTGGCACACAAAAAAAAGTGGGATTCTTTCACAGCTTGAACACCCTGCCTGTCTGTCAGACCTTTAAAGGGGAAAAAAGGTTGATGTTTTGCAGACACCCTGCAAGGATTRATGGAGCAACCTACAAATGCAAAAAAATAAAAGTAAAACCAAACAAAGTTACAAATGCTTGCAAATATCTGAGCATCAGAGTCACTGTACTGTAAAAACTGTCACAGCCRTGAAGCTCCAGGTGCTTTTGTCTTTTGTCTCCAGTGTGCAGTGACTCCCCTTAACACAAGGAAACCATACCAGGAGAGGGTAGCTCTGTGCCTTTTTCTGCTGCAGTTTGCATGATTTCTACCCGTTTTTGTTTGCATCCTGCTCTACACAGCACWCGCTACACATTTCCTCAAATAAAGCTGGAACCATTCATTGTGCACGAGATGCTTCAAGGGATCTRTAAAGGCTGAAATGGTGCTCAGGTATATATTTTTTTAAATAGGCTATAGGGTTATTTTGCAGAAAAGGAAAGCCCTCAGGAATCCCCTCCAACACCCCCGGGGACTCCTCAGACAGAAGAAAAGGAGGCGGCTGCTTACCTCAGGAGGTTGGGAAGAGGGATGGAACCGGAACCTGACCCCAGAATCCCCTTCTTCCCACTCAACARTTTCTCCACCAAGGCGACATTCCCAGTGCGAGCGGCTTCAAGCAGCTCCTGTTCCTTCCCCATCCTGGACGCACAAGTTTTCTAACGACGGGGCGATGAAAATCCAACAAATCTCCCATAAACAACCCCCCTGGTCTCCGCCTCACTGTCCGCTGAGCATCTGAAAGGATTCCCGTGACTCTGCAGGCGGCTGCAGCTCAGAGGAAGAGGTTGTTCTGGATGCTGCGGAGCGGTGCCGCCGTGAACGGCTCCCCCTGAACGCCTCGCAGCACAAGCTCCCTAATTAACTCCCGGTGTGACGAGCGCGAGCTCCAAAAAAACCCCAAGTCCTGAAGTGAAAACTAAACCTGCCTGGCTGACAAAAGAACCTGAAACTCCCTCTTGTTTTTGGAGCGTCGGGTCTGACGCTCCTGCCGGTGCACAGGCGGGAGGTGAARCTCCGTCTGCCCCCACAAAGCGCGCTCCCTCTCCGGCTCCTCTCACCTCCTCTCTCCCGCGAACCTACCGCACTGGCTCGGTGCTCATCAGGGTCAGCTGAGACACAGCTGTCAAGATTACATTTTCCACTTCCTGTTACTCATTTCAAAATAAAAGCGTCCGTTTTATTTTCTCAGTTATCCCACCTGAATATACATGTATTAGAGATGAGAATTTCGTGTTTGCAAATAACTATTTTTAAAAATAATTTAAAAATAATTCACTCAAAACTGACTTGAAGGCTTTTCCCCTTGTATAAATACAAATGTTTTTGCTACTAGTAACATTATATGGACATACAAAAATAAACTACAAAACTAAGCACTGTTTTCCAAGGGCACGTGTCCTTGTACTTTTATTTTGAAAACAAAAAAGCCCAACTTCCTTTATGAATGAAGTCTGCCTGTTTTGACGGATACTTACAGTCAGGGACAGGGTGTGGATGACGACGCTCCAACATCATCAGCATGTGTTGCAGGTTGAGTGTTTTGTCGGTGTGGTTCATTTTAAGCACTCAGCCTCTTATCTGTTGTCATTTTCAGATCAGAAACTTACTCTGTTTTCTGGCGCATGCGCACTGCTCCTCTGTGCGGGCATTGTATTCCCCTCACACTTGACGCCGCTGCAGCTGAAYGGGTTTGAAAACAGGTGAGATCCCAAAAATATCCTCGCAGTCATGTCATGTCAGGGCAGGGTTTGTGTGAATAATGCAGAATGAAGGCAGGAGCAGGGATTTAATGTGCTTTGACAGCAATGAAACGGACGGACACCCCCCCCCCCTCTTTACTGCCCCTTTTACCTGCAGAAAACCTGGGCGGCGCTTTCACTGCTGCTTCATGGAATTTAGATGTCAAGCCATGTCTGTTAGCAAAATATCTCGCGAACCACTGGACAAATTCAAATGAAACTTCCAGAAAGTAATCACTGGATATAAATTTACAACTGTTTAAATTTTGAAGCCAATCCAGTTCGAGAAGGCTGCCACAGCCAACTGACCTTAAAAAACAATAAAATGGTCACAATCCAATAAATATTTCAAATACTGAGCTAAAACTGGGTGTGGTAGTACCTGAGAGTTATTCACATTAGATACTCCAAGTGTTACTTACAGTGTGACATATTTGCTTTAAACCTGAGGATTAACTTTTGGAGCTAACCCTGTTTGCCTGTTGGCAAAACTTCTCATGAACCACTGGACAGATTTGAATGAAACTCAGAAAGAGTAATCATCGTAGGTACATTTACAACTCATTAACTTTTGGAGTCAGTACAGTTCAATATAGCCACCACAGCTAATCAAAATTACAAAACATAAAAACAGGCTGTAACTCAGTCTGTTTTACAGATATTGATCTAAAATTTTATTTGTCCAAAAAAATAAAACAGGCCATCATTCTGCACCAAAACACACCGTGATGTCTCCTATTTTCTTCAACTTTCCCACCAAACAGGTAGTGGCGTGCCCTTTGAATGCGTCGGCTCTCCTGCACACAAATCCTCACAAACACTAAGCTACAGTATGTAAACAAGCTTTCACGTTCGCAGCTGCAGAGAGGACGTTCCTCTCACACACCGTGATTTACCGTCCCTTTCTGACTCACTGAGCTACTCCAGCTTTAAAATGTCATGACCATTTATGTGCACAAAGGCCAAACACCCTTCGCAGAGGATCACCGCCGCTCGTTCGGGGCTCACAAAGTGGCCGCTCTCGTGTTTACTCCCACTTATTATATTACTTGTCATAAATTTAGAAATGCTGCTTGGGAAAATAAATATATATATATATAAATTCGGGTGAGCCAGAGTTTAAACACCTGTGCTGTAAATCAGCCAAGCTTTTCTGTGCAAGTACAGAAATGTATATTTGCAGCATGCATTTATTATTCTTTTTTTTTTGCTCGCAGACATAAAAACAGCTCATTTACAAATTAAAAATTAAATTTTATTTACCAATAAAACATGAATGTTGGATTTCAAATAGAGGCAAAAATAAGKTTATAAATGTGGTTCTTTTGCAAGTTGAAAGTGATTAGAATCAAAAGCAGTACATTTTAATAAATCATTAAGTGTCAGGCTAAATGATAGTAAAAGAAGCATAAAAATGTAAACTTGAGTCCCAGTCGGTGTTTTTACTCTGAAAAACATAACCAGTTTTAGAGAAGAAATTATGCTTTTTAATAAATTACAAAAGGACTTTATTAAAAAAAAGGTCAAACTTTTATTTTCATCAGTATTTCAGCAGCTTTGACAACTTGTTCTGTGTTTTTCTCCTTTTTCCAAAAGTGGCTTTTAATTAACTTTAAAGATAGAAATGGATCAAAAAATAATAATTTAGTATATGTTTAAATCAGTCGAAACTATTACTACTATAAGATATGGAGAACTTTTTCATGTTTGTGTTGCGCATTTTAGAAAAATAAGTCCTCAGATGAAACAGCAGMAGACACGGTCATTGCTTGTCCATGAAACAAATCACACTATATGGATTTTTTTTACATAAAATGATACACATACTCACATAGTCAGGCAGCTTTAATGAGCCCAGGTTTTCTTCCTTTTTAAAAAAAAAAAACAACTTATTTTCCTCAGTTGCCTCGCCTCCTTTTCTCAGTTGTAGTTGTTTTAATTACAATGCCTCAGTTTTCAAAGTGCAGCACGCGTTAGTTCTTTACACATAGAAAAATAAGAAAGATGGAGGGCACTGATTATCGTGAGGCGTTCTGATTGACAAAGCTGTGAAAATTCATCCTTTGCTTTTGATAAAATGCTGTCCGAGAAACACACACACACGACAAAAACATTCAACTGAAACACTGCAGAACTGTTCAAGAGTTCATAGAAAATGTGTTCACATTCTTGTACAATATACACTGTACACTCTGAAGGAGGAGCCTCTTTCCTCACTTCTGATGCACTAAATTAAAGTGCAAAAATGACTTTTTTAAAGACATTCTTCTATAGTTATAACATTCAGTGTTCTTTATACCTACAGGTTTGTATGGTTTTAGATCTGTAGGCACCACCACGACTATCAAACTTTTTTCTCTCTCTCAAGCAATAAAATAATAATACAATGCCCCTCTTTCCTTTCTGCTCCTCAAATGCTTCATGTAGAGAATAATAATWAAAAAAAATCATTGCTTTGAAGTCACAAATCGTGTTACAAATGTTTCTGTCGGGTCTAGCTGGTGTTTACTTTCAGGCTCTTCATGCGGTGAACCAGCGAGTCYTTTTCCATCTGAGCCTCAGCCAGCGCCATTTTGGTCCGGGACAGCTCCAACTTTAAGCATTCGTTCTCCTCGATTAGCATCTGAAAGCAGAGAGAAAACAAGCCACACATGGAGCTTTTTAGTCAATGACGATCGAGTATTTCAGTAGAGAAAAATACTAAAGAAGTAAATCCTGGCATTGCTTTRTAATTAAGAGTGCTGCTCTATAATTAATATATTTCTACCGATTATTAAATTCTAAAAAATAAAGAAATCTAAYAGCTTAACTAAACTTAGCATCACGTTTATGTGTTAAGAGTTCAAATTGACCAATTAAACACAAAGAGCTCCTTGTTCACCACACTATGTAGAGGTGAAAAAAGTCGTATCAGTGAAACTTTTTACTTTTCCTCTTTTTTTTTTCCACACAGCTACAGTTGAGTTTGTGTCTCACCTTTTCCTTGGTCGATGGGCTGGGGCTGGTTGGGGGGTTTTGGGTCTGCGTAGCTTTCTGGATCCTGCAGAYGCTGCTCGCAGTCTCGATGACCGGACTCAGAGAGCTGTCAATCAGTGATGTTGCCTTTTTGGGTTTGGCTTCAGCCGCACTGTCCACTGTGAGGAAAACACATGTGGTGAGTTTGGGCTGGCTTTAATGCAGAAACATTAAATGAGATGTTTTGTCACCTCCTATTGAGTAAGACCCGTCGTCTCTTTTGTGAATGATGAGACTGTCCACGTGTAGARTGAGCGGTGTGGGCTCCGAGTCTGAGGAATTGTCGCGGGGGCCATCGTCCTGCAACACAGCCAGGATGTGTTGTTGGAATATACAACTACAATTATTAAACAGCTAGGACATGTAGCTCACAGTTCAAACCTTGCCTCTCTTATGGTATGGGGTGCATGAGTGCCTATGGAATGGGCAGTTTGCACATCTAAAAAAGGCAGCCTCAAAGCCGARTTGTACGTTTTCGTACCTTTAAATCGATGTGCAGGTCCTTGACGCTGATTTCCATGGGCAGCACCTGCGAAGCCGAGTCGTCCTCCAGGAAGAGGGAGAGGTTGCGCAGCGTGGACATCAAGAAACTGGCGTGGTACCCGTGGAGGTGCAGCTGCAGGAAGCCGTTGTGCTCGGCCAGCGGGGAATGGGTGGCGGCGCAGGGCCCGCTCTCCAGCCGAGCCCGCACCTCCGGGCTGTAATCGGCTCGAGTAGAAGAGGAGTTGATCTCGCCGCCAGCTGCGAGGGAAAAGACGGCAGATGTTGTTAGCACATGTGGACACTGTGCTCAGCTCACACACACACCTGACATCAAAACACACCCAAACTATTCTAATCCAGGGTAACGTTTTATTTTTTTGTTTTTATTTTGTTTTATGACTAAAAGACAAAGTGAATCAAAATTCGAGAACTTGCATTTCCTGCGAAAATGTAGTGTGAGTGCTTAATGCTGAATGATTTCTGCTGAAAGCTGCTGAAGAAGCTGACATTTAGACAAATTAAATGGTCACTTTTTATTTTTATTCAAGATCTGTAATTGGACATGTCTGTATTAAATAGTTATTAATTTAGAGCTATTCTAAGAAAGGATTGACCTTTGACCTTTAGCCTTAACRTCCTCAAAATCAGTAGACATCATTGGTGTTTGACCTTTCTATGTTAAATGGTAATTTTGAGCTATTTTAAAAAGATAGACGGTGAAAGGGGAGTGAAATCTTTTAAATTAGCAGAAAAAACAAGAAAAGGAATACAAAAGTCACAATGTTGTAAATTACTAAACAGTTCAAATTTGCAAAAATAAATATAAAAAATAGCTAAAAGGCAGCTGAAATTAGTTCAAAGATTGATGAATTAGGCAATAACCTGAAATTATCATGGAAAGATTAATTTAGTTTTAAAAGAAGAGCTTAAATTATCAAAAGGTAGCTTAACAGTAGCTAAAAAGGAAAAAAAACTGCTGAAAAAGGCAAAAATTAGTAATTTAAATTGAAGTTTCAGTTAGCAGAAAAGAACTAAAATTAACAAAAAAAACAGGCTGAAGGAAGCTGAAATGAGCAAAGAAGTTAAAAATAGCAAAACCAGAACAAAATGTAAAAGGTCTGTAAAGATTTATAAAYGTTTTGAATGGTTTTAATGTTGAAGACAATGAGGAAAATAGTGGTCAATAAAGCTAAATATCTCAAAAAGTAAAAATTGCTGAAATACCAAAAAAAAAAGTCATTACTGGAATATCCTGAAGGAGCTGAATGTTTTGATATATAAATTGCTGAATTAGCACAAAATGGCAGAACGAGTTAATTTTGAAAAATGATCTAAATACATTTTCAGGTTATGACCCCGTGTTCCTGTCAGACTTGTAAAGAGATTTTTGTGTTGGCTAATTTTAAATAGCTGCGGCCATCTTGAATTGGGTAATCAGTTAATGACAATGCATCATGAAATTGTATTAAAAATTTCAATTCAACTCATTTATACCTACCAACAATTTTGTATAAGAATTGCCGAACTGAAGCAAGTCAAATACGTAAATGACTGTTGTAGCAGAGTGTAGAGAATCAATTCATTAGTCTCACAGTTTGAGGGAAAGGATCTGCAGTCTGTTGTTTCAGCTGATCTGACTGTGCGGTTTGCCAGACTGAGATTTCAGACTCATTGTCTTTTTGTACTCTTCAGATTCTTCTCAGACACCTCATCTTATTGATGAGCACCAAAGATTTTCTGCGCAGCTTTAATCACCAGTTCCTGTCTCGAGTTGTGCGCCTCCCACACCGGTTTGTGATGCTTTCATTCCTCCTCTACAGAAGTCAGTTTAAGCATCTCACCCCCTTTTTTTTGTTGCAGTCAGAGATGACGCGTCATTAAAATGAAAGTTACTCCTTATTCTGAAGTACACGCATCGAAATTTATGATAGCTCGACATAAAAGGGTGCATTTTGATGAAAGGGTTAATGAGATTTAAGTGAGGCTGAAGATCAAAAGGAGAAGCAGGAGATGAAGTGAAGTTGAAATGTAGATAAAGGGAAAGGTTGAGTGAAGGAGAACGTTTGATACCAGAGATGTTGAGTAATGTTTGAGGGCTTTGGACTTGAAAGTTCGAAAAAATAATAAAAGAGCACTTTACATTCAGGATTCTTTTTTTTTTTTTAAAGAAATCCCAGAATACTAAAATCTGAGATGCCAGCAGGCTTATAAAGAATATAAGTAAAAGGAGGACAAAGGGCAGAAACGAGTCGAGAAAAGTTGAGGTTGAAACATTTCAACACGTGATCARATCATTCAGCAAAACATGAAGATGAACAATCAGATCTTTATTATCAGAGGGAGAACTGCGTCACTTCCGTCTCTAATGCTCTCTGAAAGAACAGCAGGAGAGGGTTAATGCCACTGAGCACAAACACGCAAGGCTGTGAGCTTTTCTCCGACAAAACATACGGTCTCGGCACTGAGCAGACACAAGGACAAAAAAAAAGATAGGTGAGGGGAAAGAAGGTGAAAACGTTAAAGGGAGGAAGCCAAGGACTGTGACGGTGATAAGACAGGAAGGAGGGAGGAGAAAAGATGGCCTGGAGACGGTGAGAGAGAGAGATGAAGGAAAGGTGGGGTGAATGACAGAGGATTAGAAGAAAGATGGAATAGGAGCTAGGGGGACGTAAAGAGGAAAGATAGAGGGAGTGAGAGAAGGAGGGAAAGGATGCGAGATAGGAGGTGGGGGTAAAGCTGGCGTCTCTCTCATTGCCTGAATCACTGGACTGAAACTGCAAAGTCTGCTGCAGTGGAGAGATGAGGTGGGCGGGGAGAAACAAGGACAGCGAATTAGATGAGCGGGAGGATCGGGGTTAGAGTCTGCCTCTGCAAAACGAGAAGTTAATTCAAATGTGGCGAACACGTATTTAAAGGTTGGAGGCTTAGTGTTGCAAATAACGAGACTACTCACTCCATTACAGTCAAATGTATCCTTCAATAAGTGCCACACACACACACACACACACACACACACAAACACACAAACACACACACACACATTCAAGAAGCGAGATCTCAAAATCACATCAACCTTTCGCTGCTGAAAAACAGACACTTCATGCATTTCTACACACTGGATCTGTAGAGRAGGCTGTCRAGAGGAATCCTGAGTGTGGAGATGAGATCTGACAGAAAACACGTGACACACATATATACACACACACACACATAAGCACAGATACACTGGTGGAAAGAGACAGCCATGCATGTTAAGCGACATGTGATGAATGAATACCCAGCAGTTACCTTGGCTGCTCTGAGCAGGTATTGGTACTGAACTCACCATACCTGTGGGAGGTGGTGGAAGGTGAATAAAAAAAGGGAGGTGGATGAGTTAGTGTGGAAATGTGTACACGACAAATTGTTAAAAATAAAAATAAYTCAGGCTAGGATTTCACTAATTAACCATATTATCAAACTCAATTTTATTTCAGGAAATGTCTTGCTTTGTCTAAGAACCTTTACGGGCCAAAGTTAGGACAATAAATGATGATAAACATCAAAGGATTTGATGAATCTTTAAAGTGAAACACTGAAAACTGGCTTTAAAATGACTGAAATAAAACTCTGTTCTCGTGGAACATCCTTACCTTACCATTTGTCCCTAAATCTGTCAAATTATGGCGGGGTATGAGGGACAAAATTAAGACTATTGTGTAAACAGTGGTTGTTTAGTTTATAGAGAAAGTTTTCTTTATTCAAAAAAGTTTTTGTCTAATAAAATAGGTGCTAGTCACTAGCCTCTTCAATGCTAACGCCAGCTTATCCATGCTAGTTGCTAGCTACTCCGACACTAACGCCAGCTTCACCATGCTTGTCACTAGCCTCTCCAATGCTAACGACAGCTTATCCATGCTAGTCGCTAGCCTCTCCAATGCTAACACCAGCTAATCCATGCTAGTCGCTAGCCTCTCCGACACTAATGCAAATGAATAGTCTCCTTCTCATTTCTCCAGCGTCAAGGAAGCAGTGACCGGCCTATCATTAATCAGACCAATAGCTGGAATAAAATAGGAATAACTTAGGAATAGATATAGCCTCCTGCTACAAGAAAATAGCAACCGCTGGTTGTGCAATAATCTTAATTTTGGCCCTCATACTGTGCCATAGCAAATCATCTTTGAGAAATCAAAATACTTCGTCATGAGAGGTTGGAATGAAGCATTTATCAGGACCTTTATGACTTTTGTCCTCATGTTTCCCCTCGAACGCCAAACAATCCAGAACATGAAAAATCTTTTTTAAAATGGTTYGACAAACACACAATCACTATTCTGCTTGTTTCTGTTTTTTCTTTCTATTTAGTCACTGCCCTACTTGTGTGCTTAAAACTCGACTAAACACTTTTCTGTTTAAAGTGTTCATTTATTTATTTATTTATTTATTTATTTCATAAACCAACAAAAAGTCCATTATAAAAGAAAAAAACAAAGTTTAAAAAAATCGTACATCTACTCCTTATTGGAAAAACAGCTTTAAAACAAACAACTTAAACAATCTCCATATTTGAGAAATGAAAACAAAAACAAATTAAAAAGAACTAAATAACATAAGAAGTCCTAAACACTGCAAAGCATTATCCTTTCCTAATAAATTTTACTTAATCTTTTTAAATATATAATGTGTTTTACAAGTTTTTGTTTTTTAAAAATAAGGCTGCAGTCTATGTTTTATTTATATAACCAAGTTCCCAATTAAAAACACACCAAATTAGTTTTGAACCTAGTGAGAATTATATGGTTTTATGTAAAACGGGAATATAAACCAACATTAATGACCCCATATAAAATAATATAAATATATGACATAAAAATTTGAGTTCAAATTAAGGAAAATGTAAATAAAAATCTTGCAAAACTTATGTAAGGCTTTTTGTGTTTCATGCTGTTACAAAATGGTAAAAATTGTCGTGCATTTCGTACCGAGGCTGCGGTTGCTGAGGTACTGTCGCAGGCTGACATTGCCCAGCTGGCTGGGTGTGATATGGCCCACCTCCAGCGCCACGGCCGAGCTCTCGCCCACCACCTCCATGCTCGCACACACCGACTGCACCTTCAGCACCAGCACAGACACCTGGAAAGCAAGGACGAGACAATCAGCGTCATCGTGGGGTGGGAGTACACTTTGCCGTCAGAAAGGCTMGTTTTGGAGTACATAAGTATCTCACTAGATCTTTGGTGGGTTCATCAATGCTCTGGGATGTAGCGCTGACGCTGTCAGGGGAGGCGCCTCCCTCCTGCTCCTGAACGGTCACTGCTTCCGTGGCGCTTTCTGTGGCGCTCTGCTCACTGATGGTGTCCTTAAATCCAGAGATGGACACATCATCTGGAAAGTAGAACGAGAAGCCAAATAAATCCAGCTTAAACATCACAAACTTTAACCCTGCTTAAAGAAAAATCAGTGCAATGCTGCCACCTACTGTTTATATTAGCTATTTGCAACTACAGCAGCTTTTTTTTTTTTCAAAGTCAAAAATAGAACACTAAACAAAACAGGAGTTTAATAAAACTTATAAAGCACAGTAACTAAATTCTGGGTGTGAAAGAGGGTTCATGCATTTTCTTCACCTCTTTCCAATAAGCTGTCGGCGTCTCCGTCCTCCAGCAAGTAGCTGTCGATGGAGATGTTGTCCAGGGACTGCAGGGACGGGCTCTTCTTCATGTTTTTGTAGGACACCGAGAAACTGGACTGGGAGCGGTCACGCATCAAACGACCACTAACAAAATAAACAAATAAATGAAGGGTGAAGAAAACGTGTAAGGCACAMAAAAAAAATCGGGATACAAATGTATTGGACAGCACGTTAATTCTGAGTTGGGACTAATTTATGATGCACCGCACAGAAGTGTAGACAGATTAAAGATTAAAAAAATAATAAAATAAATCCACTGCTTCTATTAGATTGAATCTGATATGAATTCTATTAGCTGAYTGAGTCGAGGCTGCGGCGCTCTCAGAGCTGCCAGAGCGATCTCAAGAAGTCATGAATTAAATATGTCTTCTTTCCRCTGTTGTAGTGTTGTTTAAGGTCACGTAAAGTGTGCTATCCTCCTGAGTGTCACAAACAATCTTAAGAACAAAACAAATAAAACAAAACCCWCTAAATCAAACTGATATGTAGAAACAGAGAACACAAGGCTGAAATAAAGAACAGTCACACTCAAAGAGCTTCTTGGATCAACTTTAAAAAAGGTCCCAAAAAACAAAAATAATAATAAACATCGGAGATATTAAGCCTACTAACATACAGACAAAAACAGGCTGCCATGCATACATGCAGACGCAGTAAATTCAAATCACACCAATTTTTTTTAATCCAACAAATACGAGAACAAAGACACAGTACACTACCTGTACACACGCTTTATACTGGCTTATACAGCAGTGTGATGTGTTTAAAACAGCTGCACGGCTCTATGTGTCAACTCCAACTCAAGATAGCTTCATCGCTACTTGTCTGAACCCTTAGCAGCAGGAGGGTTGAACACAACAATCTGCTAACAATGACAACCAGGAAGCTGGTCACATCACGCTGCAGGTGTAAGCCAGCTTCAGTACATCTAGTCACAGATCCAGTGTCTTACATGTTAGACATGGAATAAAGGGAGGCGGATCTGCTGGAGTTTGAGGAGCTGAGGAGATCAGAAACCACAGACAAACTTCCTTTCCTTGGTAGAGAGAAAACACACACACACACACACCTCGCACGGGTCAAAGTGGAAGTCAAGAAGCAGCAAAGGGAGTTAATGAAATGAGACTTTGTGCAGACGGATGATGGATAAGAAAATGCATACGGTGACACGGCAAGGCAGAGGTAAGCAAAAAAAAGACATGTTGCATCAGAAGAGGAAACTTCAAAGGGAAGTTTAAAAAAACACAAAGCTCTTGTGTTCAAACAATTAGAATAAAATAGACACAAAAATTATTAATACTTTGAAAAATGTTGTTCAGGTCAGATAGAAATATCTAAAATTGACTGAATCTGACTGTCATTGTCCAAAAATTACTTGAATTATATAATTAAGATTATTCCTTGATGCTTTTGATTACATTATTTGAAATTACAGAGTAAACAAATGAAGTTGGTCCCAAAGCACACATTAGTTTCTATCTAATTACCAATTCAAGCTCCTCTGGGTTATTTCTTATTGTAAACATGCATATAATATTTTTCCATCTTCATTTTGAGTCGCTTCTAAAACTGGAGCCCTTCGAGGATGCCCGCCTCCCACTTTGCAAACCTCTGCTCCCATGAGTTTCCTACTTTCAAACGTTTCACAAATTAGAAGCGGAAAAATTGGAAGTGAAATCTTTTTAGTGGATGAGAAATTAAAAGCACATAAATACCTGGATACTGACTGAGGCATCTTCACTGTGGCGGTCTTGTCTTTTTCACTTAAGTCTTTGCTGCTCAGTGGGTCAGACAAAGCGTCACTCGCTTCATCACCTACAGCCAAACCATTATTCGTACCCTCACTTCTGACATCTGAACCTGACCTCACAGAATTCTTAGATGGTGTCCTCTCCTCCTCTGAGGGTTTTTGATTCGAGTCCGGATGAGTGGCAGAGTTGGAGGACGGGACAAGAGGGGCGGGGCATTGCTTGGCTCCGTTCTCCAGACCTACGCTGCATAGCAGCTGGTCTACAGTGCAAGGCTGCTTAGCTGCTCCGCCGGCGGAGCCGGACCCTTCATTGCCCTTCTCTGGCCCCTCTCCCACTTCGTTCGCAGGCTCCAGGGTGCCTCTGCTCTCAGAGGGGGAGAGTTCAGATCCTGCAGGAGATCTTGTACCCTCAGGCTGTGTTACAGGCTTCAAGAGGAGGGACACCTCTGCGCTTTTGAGCAGGAGGCCCAAACAGAATGTAAAGGGCTGGTGGTCTGCAGCATGGTGGATGGGGTCTTTGCGCTCTCTCTTAGAGGCCATGTCCTCCAGATCCTGTTGTAGTGTCTGCTGCAGGGCTTTGAGGCTGCGCTGAAGAAGCATCAGAAACACATACTGTCGATGGCTCACCTGAAAAACACACAATACATGTTTTATCATAAGGTAATTTAAGATCATTTAAGTTTAGTAACCTTTAATGTTTATAAAAACAATTATAAAGATATAATAAAACAATATTTGTGAAAATATAAAAGTCCAAACAAATTACTAAGAACCTCATCTGACAAATCCTTTAAAGGGATCCCTGATTAGCTCTAACATTAGACTTTATATGATAAACATTTATTTTAACTGTAAAATAAAGACTGTAAAAATACTGTAGGCTGTTTAGTTTTTATAATTTTTAAAAATAAATTTTAACACGGATGGAGCCATTTTATTTAYACACAAAGCATTCTGGGTAAATGATGACATGGACTGGTCCTCGGTGTGAGCGAGCTATATCCACCCTGAAGGTTAATCTTGGACAATATCTGATGATCGACTCTTTTAAATGAAACCAGAGAGCGTTGAYAGAGAGGAGAAGGTAGAAATGACTCAGCCTGTAACTGAAAATATAGATGGAGGACAACAGAGCTGCTTCATGGAAGAAGAACCTCAGCTTAGCGTGTTAGCCTTTGCGCTAGCACTGATGCTATATTGCTTTATATGTATTAGCTCGGTGCTAGCGTGACAAACGAGCAAAACTGAGGTCCTCCATCCATATTTTCAGTTGCAGACTGAGTCATTTTTGTGTTCCCCTCTCTGTCATGTGGATGGAGGATGTCAGTGACGAGAGGAGAATGTGTAGCGCTGAGCTAATACATATATATGGTGATAGCATCGGGTCTAACGCTAAAGCTAACAGGCTAAGCTGAGGTTCTTCTTCCATGAAGCAGCTCTGTTGTCCTCCATCTATATTTTCAGTTACAGGCTGAGTCATTTCTACCTTCTCCTCTCTGTCAACGCTCTCTGGTTTCATTTAAAAGAGTCGATCATCAGATATTGTCCAAGATTAATCTTCAGGGTGGATATAACTCGCTAGCAGCCTCGCAGGACCTATCCACGTCATCATTTACCCAGAATGTTTTGTGTGTAAATAAAATGGCCTAGTCCGTGTAATTTTTTTTTACTTTTAGTTTAAAAATGATAAAAACTGAAAATCCTACAGTCTTTTACAGTCTTTATTTTACAGTTAAAATATATGTTTATTAAATAAAGTCTAATGTTACAACTAATCATGGATCCCTTTAAATTAATAAGTAATCAATAATTCACACATAGCACCAGAATAACAAATGGAAGGAGGCACAACTGGTTGAGCTGACGCACATTATTATTTACCATTTTTGCACCTGAAATCAAAACAGAAAACATACCTGAGCGCTAAGGTGCTTCTGCACATGCACCAATATATGCACATCTGCATCTTTACTTGATAAAGAGGAGGAAGAAGAGGGCAGACTGTCCAATGAGAGGGGTTTATAGAGTCCATTACTGGGTGGCGGTGTTGCTACGCTGCAGTGAGARGATGTCGGTGCACCATCAGCGCTGTAAAATTCCTTTAACAATYGTTTCCTCTGCAAACGAGCGACCGCCTCTGCCGACGTGCTTCGGGACAGCCCTGATCCAGCCGACTCTCTCAGCTTCTCCTGATGCTGGACGAGTTTCGCCGGCTGGCAGGCCCACACGGTGAGAGGGAAGGAGTCCACAAATGGCTGCGGACGCCCTTTACCTCCACGGGTGCCTTCATAGTCCACCCAAAACTGGGCAAAATGCAGCGCCCAGAAGTCTGTAGCAGCGGGCCTCTTGAGGGCGTCAGGGCCCACCGTTGACACCACAAGCCCCCGGTRCACGTCGTGCATCCTGGTGTCTTGTTCATGAGCGTGCCGCTGGAAGACAGGATGGAGGACGGGGACGGAGGAGGAGGAGCGAGGGAAGGAGGAGAATGACGAGGAGAAGAATGGCTCCTCTTCAAAGGCCTGCAGCAGGGCCTCAAGGTGGGAGCGGGTGCAGTTGGCAGGGTGCCGGGTGTTGGTGGCTACCATTTCTGAAGTCTGTATTGAGACGGAGCGGGGCAGGTCAGCAGGGCAGGAGGCGTCCTGATCGGTGGGAACCACCACCTGGTGAAGAGCAGAAACCAAACAAATGTCTGTAAATTTCACCCTTAAGAACTCTGAACAGCTCCTGCTTCTGCAAATCCTTCTTACTTTAAGCATCAGGCCGTCAACCTTGATGTCAATGTGCTCATCGGGTTTCTGCGAGTCGTTGAGCTTGTAGATCTCCATGAACTGCTCCAGGCTCTGTCTGAGGTCGAGAGCAAACAGGTTGATCCACACCAAGCTGCGAGGATCCAGAACCAGCTGCAGGGCGTTGAGCTGGGCGTACAGGTTGGGACAGGGGACTGCACAAGAGTGGAGGAGGAGGGAGTAAAATAAAGCATATAATAAAGAAACTACACTTTTTTGTCTTGTTTTTTTTCCACTAGTCAGACAAGAATTAACTTTGTTTCCAAATAAAATAAATGTAAGAAAAGTTCATTAATTTGCTGATTCTTTTTATTTTATTTTATTTTATTTTATTTTTTATTTATTTAT